GGCCAGGTACAGGGGTTTTCTGAGCGCCGCCTTGACGTTACGTATCGTCATAGCCTTCAGGTGCTTCTCCTCGTGGAGGAAGGTGAGAAATCGTAGAACTGTATCGTGGGTGATGTCGGTTGTTTCTGCACTCCATTCGAACACTCTTTAAACCAAGATCGCCGAACAGCCAAGATTGCAGAGCAAACAAAGAAGGCCGAACAAACAAAGATGGCCGAACAAACAAAGATGGCCGAACTAACCAAGATAGTTGTCGGTTCGAGACAGCAACGGTCGCCACTGTCAAACTTTAAAGGCACAACATTCAACGTCCTGAAATCGTCAAATTGTAATCCTCCATTTCCAGAAGAACTTGCTCGTAAAGATTCGTGTCGTCGTTATAAACACGGAGGCCGGTCAGGTCAAGATGGCAGATCGGTATCGGTACAGTAGGCACCTGTCGCCACAGTCAGATTAAACAGCACGGCCTTCAACGTCGCTGGATCCTCAAAGTGTAAGCATCTAAGTCAAAGGAACTAGCTTATGAAGATTTGCGACGCAGTTTTCAAGCACGAGGGTACGAGATGTTTGCACTAGAGCAGTGGTTCCCAAACTTTTCCAGCCTGGCCTCCTTTGGCTAACCAGTTACCAGTGAAGCTCTAGCGCCCCCATCTGACACACATATAAAAACAAACGCCTCTTTCTTGATAATTAGTATGCTGCAATTATAAAAGAGAAAGGTTAAACACAAATGTATATTTCACAAATAGAGCCCCATTTAGTAAACCAATATATTTTTCTACAGTTTTAACTGTTTCAATGCCTGAAATTCAAGACTGCTCGGACAAATTTACGGCCGGGCTCGTGGCTGGTCTCGCAGCCGATCTCACGGTCAATCTCTAAATTCAGTGACCAAGGAATATCACCCAAACTGATGAACGCAACTCGATAAAACTTGGAACACGGATTCATTAGGACCTAACGGTGATGTTTAGTTCGTGTAAAAATTGTTAAATTTCACCTTCATTCGGGAGTTAAATGGCGATACGGGCCGAAATTCGCAATGATCAAAGAATTTCTCCAAACTACTGAACAGATTTGAACGAAATTTCGAATATAAATTCCTAACTACCAATCGGTAATGTTTAGCTCGTGAAAATTAATTCGGTTCGGAGTCATGTTCTACATGTTTTGTGTACAAGTTGTCAAACAAACGTACAAACTTCTGACTTCCACTTTGTGGACTGCCGCCCCCAACTGCCCCTTTCTTCCTCATCGCCCCCACCCCAGATCTTTCCACCGCCCACAGGGGGGCGATATCGCCCACTGGGAACCACTGCACTAGAGTATGTTGTACGCAGAGTTCAACAGCACACGTCCGCCTGCAACTACAGCTGGCGCAAGCAATATTGGAGTGATATTGATGCTAAGGTGATGTGGTGCTGATTGATAGTGAGATTTGTGTAATTTGAGGTGCAATTTTACCACTATTATATCTCAACATCGTAGAATATTTACTGCTTTTGAGGACTCTAACACGCGACTCACTGCTCTAATCTTACATTGTTTAAAATGCTCGGCCGCTCTGCTGAATTAACCAGAACTGTCGCAGATAGCAGGGATCGAATCCTTAACTTCACTGTTACAATCTTTGTATTCTGAAGTGCAACCATTGGGCCATCCATATTAAAGGAAAATCGGCGTAGTTGAATCGGTCTTCTCGCCTTTCCCTGCAACGCTCTTGACTACCGGCCCTGAGCAGGTATCAATTGCTACGTACGTTATCAACAAGTCAGTAATGATACCGGTGAGACTCTCCTTCTACTCCACCACTTCTGTACCAAGCAGTGCAATAAGTCTGCTTCGAAGTTCGTCTCATGAACTTAAAATTGTTTATAATTTGATTTTTATGTTCTTTGGTCCACTGTATCGTTTCTTGGGTTTTATTTTCTTTTGTGTACTTTTGAATTTTCTCTACTGATTGTACTAATATTCACTGAATACAAAATCTACTCTGATACTGCCTCATCCAGCCCCCTATCCTTAAGAATAGAATAGAAGTGTCGGCACTGAAGAAATAGGCCCATGGCCTGTTGCCGATTCTTGAATTTTTTGTAGTATAGTAGTATAGTATCTTTGGCATTAAAGAATAGGCCTGGATAGGCCTGTCGCCGATTCTTGTACTTTTCTTGACTAGACTGGCCTTACGGACGGTAGATTTAAAATCGCTTCTAGATATCAGTTGTTCCGTAGGGTACGAGGCATTTTAAGACTGAACATATGCTCATGCATGGCCTTGTCTAGTCTGTTCTTGAACGCGTTCATACTCGGAGCGTCAACAATATCTTCAGGGAGGCTGTTCCACATGTCAGTGACTGTCTCTTATACACATCTAGATGTGTATAAGAGACAGCTTCAGAACATATAACGGGAAATGTACTTTTACTATGCGATGGCATAGCACCATACGCAAATCCCAGTTTGAGTATATGGGGACAACTCAGGATCCGGGAAATGAAAAATTAAAAAATATTGACACTGCTATATGCCAATATATAACTTTTGGCCAAAAACATCATAGTTTTTGGGTAATGTTGAGCTCATTTTTCTTGTGCAATATTGATTTATTAGTTTTTAGGTCACAATATCGATAAAATAGAATAGATTGGAAGTGTCGGCACTGAAGACATGGCCGTTGCCGATTCTTGAATTTTTCGCTCCTTGATTCACAAGGGATCCGGCCTTTGGAACCCGATCTTTCCATAACTGACGATTGATTGAGATAGCTGCTAGACTTATTGCCTGGTCCGTAATTTGCTAGGCATTTTAAGACTGAACATACAGTTGTATGCTCCTGCACAGCTTCGTCTAGTCTGTTCTTGAAGGCGTTCATACTCGGAGCGTCAACGATGCTATTTCACTCTGTGCTGTTCCAAATGTCGGTGACTCGAAGCGAGAAGAAATGTTGTCGCATGGATGTGTTACAACGCAGTTTTTTTTAGTTTATAGCCGTGGCCCCTGGTGTTGGTTCTTGTTTCAAATTCTAGTAATCCTTCTGGGACGTTGTATAAACCATGGGTACATTTGTATGCTTCAATGAGTTCGACACGCAGACGTCGATAACTGAGGATTGGAAGCTTCATAATCTTTGTTATTTCCTCATAGGACTTGCCTTTCAAGCCCGAAATTATCCTTGTTGCACGTCTTTGAACACTCTCTATTAATTTTTTGTCCTTTTCAAGTTTCGGTGACCACACGACGTTTCCAAACTCTAGGATCGGGCGCACGACAGCAACAACCAACTGCTTCATCGCTTCTGCATCTAGGAACTCGAAAGAGCGTCTGAGCAGACCAAATCGTTTATTGGCTTTATTAATTCTCGTTGAGCTGGCCTTGGGACACCTGCGTTATTGTTTGACAGATGTACCGCCCCAGTTTAACTTGACCTTCAATATGCTTAGGAAATTTCAACTCGTTGTCGATATTAACTCTTAAATCTTTTTCCATTGTCGACTTCGACATCTTCACTCTGTCTCAGCGACATACATGCTCGGCCGTACGTTACACGTTATACGAATTACACGTCATGCTTATGCGCGATACGTAGTAAGATGTGATGTATGCGATATAAGATAAGTAAGGAAAGTAAAGTAAGAATAAGTAAAGTAAGAAGAAAAGTAAGGAGAGTAATTTCTCAGATGCACTCTCTACCAGCTTTGCCGTCATTATCAAGATCCATACTGTTCGAAAGATCAGAACCTATAAGTGCATCTTCAAGTGTAGGATCTTCCAACCAAACCTGAGGGCGCTGTTCCACTTGATATACGATAGAACATTGAAAACTTGTTCAGAGACCAGCTAGTCAATTCAACACAATTAATTTAAATACAATGGTCCAAATAATAATTGTTTAGATTCAGTCACAGGCTATTATTCATTTAATTAAAGGCATTGGGAACTGTAAAAATGCCAGGGAGATATTTTAAAATTTATCATGAGTATATTTATTCTCTTGCTGGCTAGATATTTAACTTCTCTCATTTTAAATGAACCCAAATTAAGCTGATATTTCTCCGGTAGGTTTCGTTCTGAATTGTTTCTGAATCATCTACCCATTTACAGCTGGAAAAGACTGCTACAGTCTCCACAGTCCCTCAGTTCAACAGTTGGTAGTGACTTCGGGCAGACCATTGTTTCCAGGCTAATCTAATATATGTCAAAGTTCGTCTGTAGGTTAGGAGCCTGACACGGAATTTATATATAGGGCCTGTTTGAGGTACCTAAAATATTCTACGTACCGGCTTAATGAAAATGAGAGTGCTATGCTCACTATAGAATATTGATTTGTTTGGACCTTTCATTAATTAGCGTCAATTAGTTTTATTATTATTAACGGGATTCGGAATGATGGGGTTCGGGATGATAAACAAACAAATGACTCCTTTAAAAACGATGAAATAAAAAATCAATTTATTGGCATTTAGAATCATTTGGCATTTATCATGACGGGAATCGATGTTCTTCTAAGTGATTTGTGAGTCTATCTAGAGTTTATAGCATCGCCCGTTTTACCCTAAGTTGAAAGTTTTTCTTATTATTACGTTAAACTAAGGTATTTGAACGAAAAAGTAGTCGGCACTTGCTGATCGTCCCTGCAACACACCACAATGGATATTCTTCAAAGCCTCAGAGCTTCATATTAATGCAAAACAAGTGATTAATTTACTCAACGCTTATTGAATCGACGAATATTCAAACATAATTAATACTTGGGGAAAATTTTCTGTCATGTTTTTCATGTATGTTAGTGGGTGCGTTGCAGGAACTTCCAGATTTACCAGCTGATCTTCTTTCCAAATGATATTGATGGATTTTATCCAAAATTACTCGTACAAATTATTTTTGACTCACAAATAACAGGAAATGAACAAATGGAATGTTTATTTTGAATCATATTTATTGATAGCTCTTCTGTAGTGTGATCTGTGACGTCACCATGTTGTTTATCTAGAACAGGAGGACGACAGTCGATGCAGTGATGTGCTCATAGAATTTTGCTCAAACCTGCTGTTCAGCATTCGCATCCGTCATGGTGAGTCCCGAATATGATGCATGAATAACTGTTGATTACTTTTTCGGTATTTTTTTGGCCTTCTTCAGTTAAAAATATCGAAATAATTGTAGTTGGAATTGCGCAGTGCCAGTGCAACTTTGAGGTGTCGGCTGTCTCTCAACACTTATTTTCTTCTCCGTTTTTCTGTTTCGAGAAAGTTTTCTCAATTATTCAGTGGTAAAAATTGTACTCATCAACATTTCTGCTTAATTGATGAGCTTCTTCTCTTATCATTTCATTCCCAGATGTTACTGTGTCGGATTAAAGTTAAGAGGTTGTTATATGTGATCGATGCAAGGGTTGGGGGGACATGGGGAGTGCGGATCGGAGGGGTGAGGGGTGCGACCATTGCAGTGACCTTGGTTTTAGCTGCAACATCGCTTCTCACATTCGCATGAATTGAATCGCATCTGACTGTTCTCTTTACCGTATTCTTCCCCCTAAGAATAAGCTATTCTTTTCCAATCATCGTAAAATAATTACACGTTATTTTGCCTCCTAAGTTGCATAGTAAATGTTTTTGACCGGGCGGGGGTGATGGCATAGCTAGTCTTGGCACATCAGGTTGCCGTTGGCCCTGGCTGGCTCCTCGCGGTGGCTTGTGATTGTACCTGCCTGCTGCTGACTTCGTTCTCCATCTATATACTGACACAAAAGTTCAATAATGTCATTCGAGTATTAGTTTTGCTACTGTCTAGTCTTAATATTATTCAGAAATAATGTTGCCTAAATGCAATTACTTTTTCATTAAAAATGTTGATGTTATAAACATCTCAGTAAAGCAATAATTTATAAAAACATTCTCAATATTGATACTAACTTGTGGTTGCTGGCTGGCAGTTATAGTTTTTTCAAACTTAATTATTTATTTTGTTTTTTCCAGTCAAATGTTAATTATATGTTTTTTCATTTTGTGTTTTATCTCCCAGAGGATATTCTATATATTCTGTTGTGTCAATGTGCTTTTTTTTTTTCTCTCACTGTGTCTCTGTTTATATTTTCCTCTAATTATTTTGTAATTTAGCAGCTTGAATGTTATTATTGATTAAAATTACATTATTTCATTTTATTAAAAAATAAGCTATTGTAAACAAATCATTAGGACCAGAAAGCACAAGAAATATTCAAATATCAATTTATGATGATCATAATTATAATTTATGATGATCATTATGATATATTCAACAAAATATATTAAGCAGGTCTTGAAAAAATTAACTGTATAAATTTACTTCAGTCAAGTTATAGAACAATATTTCATTCTCTTTTCTTTTAAAATTTCTCAAATTATTTTATATTTCCAGAGACTGTAAGTGCTATGCTATGTAATTTCTATTTTACACATAGAAGTTATTAGCTAATTAAGTCACAGAGCTTAAAATTTTTTTTCAAGTTATATATTAATAGGGTAATTTAGGTGAATAAGCTACTGTATATGCTACAACATGAATTTAACACAATTAATCTACAAAATCTCTTAACCTATAAGTTTCATTGTTGGACATTATTGACATGTTAACTAAATTCTGAATGGGCTTGGGTGAACTTTTGGTAATTTTTAAAATTTTCTAAAGTAAACTTGATTTTTTATTGTGTGGTCATTTATATTAATTGGAAATTGCATATTCTAGTGCATTTTCTAGAGGCTGGCTCTCTGGCAGTGGTTCATGTTTCTTTACCAAAATTCAACCTACAGTTTTACTCAGAAGAGACGACAAGAGCTACGGTATCCTTATTTGGCTAATGAATCGAAGACATTTTTTACTGATGTTAAGCTTTTAAATGCTACTTTATTGCATTATGAATAATTTTTAGGTCTTTTTCCACTTTTCATTTGATACTTTTTTTAATATTTATTCCATTCCTATTGTTTTCACTAGTTGAGGCAGTCAAAAATGAAGCTTAATTTCAAGGCAATCTCCTACAGGCTCAATGTAACTTGAGTGTGAGTTTGTAATGCATATTCATTGATTTATATAAGCTATAAATTTGAAATGCAGTTGGAATTGAATCATCCATATAACTGTATTTGTTGTATTTTTACAATGAAATTTGATTGCAAAAGATTGTGTTAGCAAGTGCTATGAAGAGGGCTTCAGCCCCTGGACAAGATATTTCCCAATTGAGCGATAACATTTTGAAGTTTTTATTGCCTAACATAAGGTACGTGCAGAAAATTTGTTCAAAAACATTTAATCGAATTCATCTGAAACAAAATTACTGCATTAATCTGGTTTAATTTTCTATTGCTGTTTTAATTCTGATAACAACCTAAATATTTGTAATAAAACTGGCTTAAATTAGCTCAAATGTCCCATGGTCTAAAATCCAAATGAGACTGATGTTTTAGAAGAACTTGATGCTAGACATTAAATTCATTAGTGGATCCCATGCCTTCATTAACTTGCATTGTGAGTTGAGTGTTTTGCCTTTTTATTTTTGTTTGCGTTGAAAATATTTTAATAGGTACTATTGCTATTAATATATGCTATTCATTGTTTGATCAAATATTTTTTTTGACTCCATTCTAAAGAACCCCAGTTGCATTTTATGTCCTGTTCTTTTAATTTGGAAAAAAAGTTTAAAACTATTCCCTAATCTGTGCAATCAAAATCTATTTATGAGTGTGTTTAATATGTTATATAATCATGTACTTGAGATGAGCTTTACCAATATGATTGCACCTTGAAAAATTAAGGATCTTGTGAACACTTGGTTTTATAAGTTTAAAGTTCAATTGTTTGCAATTTTATTCCTTATTTTATTCAAGAGGATTTTTACAACTTGTCTTTGCATCATGAAAACTCACATCCATAATGTGTCGCATTTAAGCAATGAGAATATGATCTCTGATCAAATAAATTGTCTGGAAAGTAAGTAGTGAGATATTGAGAAGTAAAAAACAATCACCAGTTTTTCTGTGTCGGAAGAAAAATGGAAAACCCAAGCTACTCATTATACTTTGGATGCAATGCTTGTTGTCTATTTTTTGCCCTATTTTTTATCTCTTACTGGTTTTGTGACCTTGTTCATAGGTGAAATCACTCACCCCTGCTACAAAACATTGTATTTGGCCAAAAATATCATTAATATAATTTAATTTCATGTTTGATACTATGATAAACATTAATCTAGACTGACAAATTTCCTTCCTTAGCATAAAATTATAGTATGACTCTTACTTACCAATGTTATATCCTGGTTGGTATTATTGTGCACTGAAGGTTGGAAACTCTTGATGAGAACTTTAGTTAGAATAAATTATATTCCTCATTTTACTAATAATACTAGCTTAACTATGATTATCGTTTAGTCTTATTTTAAGCTGGCAGGACCTAAGCTCGAATTAGTGTTGTGCTAACAGAATTTAAAGGCAGTTCAAAATGTGAAATGCGGTTCTCTGCGCCGCATGGGATCCTTGGAATAAATGGCAAGCTTGATAGAGGCCTCAACTACAAGTAACATTACAACTTGCATTGTTGAGACTTCAAAGTTAACTTCATGACGTGTTAGCTGCAGATTAGTACCTACTCCTTTGACTTGAATCTTTATAAATTAATTCTTCGGTCGCAGATGAATTCGTAGATGAGAGCTTGAATGAGATAAAAAAAAACATATGAGCTTTTGAGATGATGAAGTCTGTAGCTGCTTCATGGTGTGTCGGCTGCAAAGCAGCATCGCCTGTCGTCTGCAAGCGCTGGCTGTGCGGTTGTAGACTGGCTGCTCCAGGTTCTCGACTGGCAGGTGTGTCAGTGTTGTACTGGCTGCCAAGTGAGCTGTGTGCGCCGTGTGTGTTGAAGCTCTCTCTTTCCACTATCACAATTTTCTCTCATTCTCAGTCCAGTTAATTCAATTGACATTCATTAAACATTTGATGAAATCAAAGCTAGTTAAGGTTTTGATGTTTGTTAGTTTCAAACTACAGTATATCAGCACACGCATTGCTTTCTCTCGCTCTCCCTCCTACTCTTCTTATTCCTGATGGTGTTGCTGAAGCTTTCATGCCTATGGAAGACATTGCGCTCCAGCGGTGCTCATACCTCTAGCATCCCTGCTCGGCCAGCATTAGTGAAGCCTTCTATTTCCCCGGTTGCATTAGTGAGGCATAATACGAAGATATGAGATGTGGGTACCATTTATAGACACTTGTCCAGCCTTCAATTTACGTGTGGGGATTTAATCACTTGAACCTTATAGGTGATAAGTGTGAGATTTTTGCCATTGCGTGATTTGTTTACATTAATTTAAATAAATTGCCTATGCTATACTATTTTCAAAGTGTTAACTACTAAACTGTCAGCGTGATTAATAGTGTGATAGTAAGTGTAACGTGTGCTGAGGGCTTTACGTTGTTATTCTCTCCAATTGCACAATCAGCTGCATGACCGCACTCTTTTGGTGTTAGTTTTTCTTCTAGTTAGACGCCGACATTCTCCCTTGTAGGACTGACTACACTAGACACTGCCCGATTATATTCTTGTCGAAAGTTGGATAACAATTTCGTAAATGCTTGTTATGTTATGTCGGCTGCAGATGACCATAGTAATGCTTGCTATTTCAGTCTTCCAGTTTTAGTTTTCACCTATTTATGTTCTTTGTTCAAGGTACCTAAAAGACTTATTTGTCCCCTAATTTTATTTGAAAACTTTCCAACTTTCTGCGCTTGTACCACGTTAGTATCCGTTTAATTATGAAAAAATTTTATATTTGAAAGTGATCTGTTACCGTGGAAAACATTTGAACCTCGACGTCAAACTTATCTCTCGAGTTGAATCTTGAAGTAACGTCGCGCTATTTCCCTTGAGCCCAGCTTCCGCCATTAAGTATATTTCTCTTTAAATTTAACTTCGTCTTCTAAATTGACTTTTAACTCAAAGTTCGTGTCAGGGGAGATGCTTGATCGTAAAATCAAAAATTTATGTGCGTGTAGGACTTAGAAGTTAATTTGTTCGATAAAAAATTGGTGCATATGATAGGCG